TTCCTCTTGATAAGCTTGAGTTACACGCTTTTCAGCCTTAATTGCTTTTTGGAATAATCGAGCTAAATTCTGCGAGAACGAACCCCAGAACCCTCATCCTCATTATTGGTTTCAGTAGTCTCCCCCTTAATAGGTGTAGATAATTCATGTAACAACCCTCGAAATCTTTCCTGTTCACGATTAGTTCTTGGGGATATTTCTCTTGATGATCGAATTTGTGTATTAGCAATATCATCTTCAGTTGTTTGATTAGTCGAATTATCCATCCTTCAATCATAGATTTCAGGGAATGAACAGAATGAAAGGTGAGTGTGATTACTACATATTCCATTTTCACTGCATTACCTACCTTATTTGAGAACTATGATTGTTATTCCCATTATCATTATTTTCAGCATCATCGATGATATCTGATAGCTCTGATATCTCTTCTATATATGCAATTGGACTTTTTGCTTGATTATGCGTAGTAACTTTAGTTCTCTTTTTTCCTGACCCGCAAGAGAATCTTTGTCTTCTATAGTATTATCACTTAAGGGGTCTTTTTTTCTGAAATCCTTATTCTTAAACACCATGTGATACTCACCAGAAGCTAGTGTAAGTTCCTCCCTAATAAGTTCGATAGGTGATATACAACTAGAAATAGGGTATAAAGGAAAAACATATTTCTGATCATACAATATATTTTCAAGACATATTCGATGGTATATATGTTCACATGATAATACTGTGAATGAATGAAGTGGTAAGACAAGAATTTCTTTATCACAGAAGTGGCAAAGATTAAATTTCGGGGCATGTTCATCAGTTATTTTAGAAGTGTTTCTTAGGAAATTTAACAAAAGTGTTTAAGTTGAAAAACCTCTGTATTATCCGTATAAATTTCTAAAGAACTTGCTGGTAGTTCGCTAGTCATACTGTTAAATCATAAAGAAGATTTCTCGTCCTTTTCTCCTTACATAAATATTTTTTCATATATTAAGACTAAAACGAAATTAGCCTTACTCTGAGAAAATTTATTTCAGAAATGAACGTCTCAGAAATGAGCATCTTGGAAATGGATATCTCAGAAATGAACATCACGAAATGAACATCACGAATAAATCAGGATCAATGATGAAAAGATATGTATAATACCAATTAGTTTGTATTGTTCAATTTTTGCCATAGTAGATAAAAAGACTATCTCACCTTATCTTTATGTTTTGACCCTTTTCAAACATATGTCATAAAAAAAGACTACTATACTCTCAGTTAAGGCTACGATCATTACAAAACATGAAAGTCCTGAGATAAATATGGTAATCCCTCCTTCGATCAAAGATCTTTAAGAGAAAAGTTTTCTGATTATTTCTATACATCAACTTCAAAAAAATTTCATTAAACAATGTTGGCTTATCATCCATAGTAGCTACATATATACAGTCAACTCTCTATAAATGCATCCTATATAAATGCACACCCTTTTTAAATGCACTACTTAGCTCAGTCCCGAGTCGGGGAATTAGTGCTAAATGCACCC